ACAGGACACTGCCTCTAGTGGGGCAGCACAGCCGTTGCCCAGCCTGCGCAGCCGGGAAAATGCAGGGAAAAGCATGCCCACTTCTCTCTATCCTTCGTCTGACCTGCTGGTGCCTCCACCGGTGCCACTCAGGAAGCCGCAGGCCCAGGAGCTGTGCGATGCGGCCCAGGAGGGGTGACAGCATGCCTCTGGGTGCAGAGGAAGGGCAGAAGGTGGGATAGCAGATACCCAGAGGCAAATGGAAAACACCTAGCACACCAGGTCCGCTCTCCCTCGGTGGGCTCAGAGGATGAGCTCCGGCTGACACGGCCATGGTGCTCTATGTCTCTCTCAGCCTCGGTTTCCCCGTTGTGAATTCAGATGCCAGCTTCCTAGGACTGTCACGAGGAGGAATTAGTCAACACTGTGTCTGCAAAACACAGCTGGCTGGGGGCCTGTTGCGCTGTAGCACGTGGCAGGCTGATGGGAGCTGTGGCTTCCTCCTTGTGCTGAGCACCCCCAGATCTGTGAGGAGACCCTCCATCCCCAGGTTGCCAGTGAGCAGAGGCCCCGGAGGCCTATAGAACAGGGGTCCCACAAAGCATGCACACATCCCACGGGAGCGAGGAGAAGAAGGCAGGCCACATGACAGTCCCCAAGATGGCTTCTAGAGAAAGTCAGAATTCAGAGTCCCGAGTTTCACTTTAATATTTAAAAATCCTTCTCTACAATTTCAAGCATGTACTGAAGTAGACGGAACAGCGTAGACGGAACAGTGTATCCCATCACCTCACCTCAGCAGTGAGCAATTCACGGCCGGTCTCATCTCTTCTGTATTCCCCCATCTTTCCCCGTATTATTTTGAAGCAAATCACAGACATTATGTTATTTCAACCATGAATCTTTCATCTGCATCTAAGAAAGATAACTTCGATACCATTATCACATAAAAAATTAAAACGAAGTCTTTGCTGCCCGAGTAACAAGCACGCCGCGCGCCCGGATTCGGGTTCCAGGGGGCGGAAAGAGGGCTCCTTGGAGAAGTGGCTGATCTAGGACCAGCACAGGAAATGGCCAAGGTGAGCCTGGAGGTCTTGCAGTGCTGGCAAGTATGGCAGCGCTTAAAACAAACACAACGGAAGCGAAAACGAAAACCCCGCACTTCGGCAGCTGTGTCAGAGGAACACGGGAGTCACCCGAAATAGCTCCCAGTGGCCCAAACTGGAACAATTCGTGCAATGAAAGAAATACACTAGTATGGGATTATTACACCAAGAATAAAATAAACAGCCCCGAATCCATGCTGATATACATAATTGAGTAAATAAACAAATGGGGAAGAAGAGGGAAACCTTCCATGCAGAAGAAAGCTAAGAAATGTACATAGAGATGCTGCCCTCAAGGAGGGGAGCCTGGGCTGTTCACGGTGACTTCCTTACAGAGAGTACAGGATGGAAGGCGGGGGTGACTTCATGGGGAGAAACCTGTCCAACCCCTCCTTGGCCAGGTGGTCAAGGGCCACATCCATGGTTAAATCATAGGGCCATCAGGTGGCATGGTGGTTAAGGTGTTGGACTCCCACATGTAGACATGGTTTGAGTCCTGGACCTGGTGGCCTGAAAATCACACCAGGCGTGTGTGCGTGCGTGCCCAAAATCCTGAGAGGAGAATGGAAGAGAAGGGATTGTGGCGTGGTCATCCTCCCGGGAGATGATTTATCAGTTTCCCTTTCTCTCTCTGGAAAGTGCACACACCCTATGACAAAAACTTAAATAATAATAATGATAATCAAGGAACCAGTTGGCTATATCGCCGGATTCCCTTGCAGTCGACCACAGTTCAAGTCCCGGACCTGGTGGCTTAAACTCATGCTTGTGCGTGCGTGCCCAAGATCCTGAGCGGAGAATGGAGGAGAAGGGATTGCGGCATGGTCATGCCCCCGGGGGGGTGATTTCTTCCTTTCGGTCTCTCTGTCTCTCTCTGTCTTTCTGGCAAGTGCACGCGCCCTATAGCAAAAACTTCTCCAAAAAAAAAAAGTGTCAAACCACGTTGATAGTTGTATACATCTTATATATGCTGAAATTCACTTGGCACTTTGTTTGTGACCTGCCTCCCCAGAGCCATGACCCTAGTCTAGTCATGAGAAAAACATTAAATTCCAATAGAGAGACATGCTGCAAAATACCTGACCAGTCTTCCTTGAAACTGTCCAGGTCATCAAAAAGAAGGAAAGCCTAAAAACCTGTCAGAGCTAAGGGACTCATAAGGACTCATGATGTCGAAATGTCCTGGGACAGAAAAATGACATCAGGTACAAATTCAGGAAATCCAAATTAGAGGCTTCAGGTCAAAATAACGTATCAATATTGGTTCATTAATTATAACACAGGTACTGTATTAATGTTAAGATGTTAATAATAGGGGAAACTGGGTATGGGGGAATGCTCTGTACTGTTTTCTCAGTTTTTTCCTGTAAACCTAAAAACTGTTGTTTTAAAAAGTCTATTATTTAAAAATTAAGCCTCGTGGCCCAGTCACTGTAGTACCACACGGGAAGTCTGAATTTCAGTCCCAGACCAACCTAAAGAGGCGAGGTGTCGTGCTCTTCCCCTGTAGTCCTCACTGGCTGGGTGGTTGGGGGCTGAGACAAAGGATAGCAATTTCAAGACCCTGTCAAAAATATCCCCCGTTCTCTCTCATAAAAACAAATTTAAGTCTTTAATATCTACGGATATCTAGAAAGTGCTCAGATTCTGACCTGTCATGCATCACAGGATTCAAATTGGTCCCCACATTTCAACTGGGTATAAACTAAGTTTGCTTTTAAAAAAAGTATTTAATTTTGTTTATTACTATTATTATTATTTTTCATTTGCTATAGGGCATGGGTGCTCACCAGAGAGACACAGACAGAGAGAGAGAGAGAGAGAACATGAGAAAGCAAGCCGCCAGGTCCAGGACTGAAACCATGGTAGGTCATTGAGGAGTACAGCACTGCAACCACCACACACCTGCTGGCCCCAGTGTGCTTCGTTTTTAATTTGCCTGAGGGCACGACACTCACCAGAGAGAGACAGAGAGACAGGAAGATGGAGGAGAGGAAGAAAGTACCCTTGCCCTCCCATTGGGGCATGGTCATGCCACAGTCCTTTCTCCTCCATTTTCCCACCCCACTGGGATCCTGAGCATGCATGCACATGCACCCAGTGTTTGTCTTTTTCTTTTTTCTTTTTTTAGAGAGATTTTTGCTATAGGGCCCATGTGCTTACTAAGACAGAGAGACAGAAACAGGATGGATGACCATGTGGCAATCCCTTCTCCTCCATTCTCCTTTTGGGATTTTGGGCATGCACGCACACGCACCCAGTGGAGGTTTAAGCTGCCAGGGCCAGGACTCAAACGCGGTCAACTACGTGGTAGTCTAGTGGCGTAACCAATACGCCATCTGCTGACCCCATGCCCAGTGTTTTTCAGACCTCCCGAGTCAGGACTCCAACCACCGTCACATGCATGGGTTCTGGCTCTCGTAACCACTATGCCATGGGTCTGGCCAAAACTTCTGCTTTTTTAAAAGTTTCTGCACGTATGTTCGCTGGAGAGAGACAGAGGGAGGGAAAGTGAGAAATTACACCTCAGGGAAGATGGGCATGCTACAATCCCTTCTCCACTCTCCTTTTATGATTTTGGGCACACATATGTGTCTGGAGTGTTTTTCTTTCTCTTTCTTTTTCTTTTCCCTTCTTTCTTTCCCTTTCTCTCTCTCTCTCTTTCTTTCTGTCTTTCTTTTTCTTTCATTCTTTCTTTCTTTTCTGTCGTGTTTTTCAAGCTTTCAGGACCGAGACTCAAACTGTGGAGTCGGCCATGTGGGATCCTGCTGCCCTAATCTCCGCACCACCTGCTGGCCCTGACTTTTGCCTTTAAAAAAAAAAATTGCCAGAGGGCACATGTGCATGTCAGAGACAGAGACAGACAGACAGACAGAAAGACACACACACACACACACACACACACACACACACACACAGAGAGAGAGAGAGAGAGAGGACGAAAGCTCCCCCAGGGTTTTTTCAACCCCAACATGTTAAACCATGGGTGCTGGAACTCAAACCACGGTCAACCATGTGGGATCTGGCTCACCTAGCAGAAGGCTACAGAGCTGGCAGTTATGAACTAAGTTTCAAAGGAGGTAAGGAGAATACGAGAGGAAAAAACTTCTCAGTGCATGTGTATCTTGGGCAGGAGTCTGAGAGGAAGGTGGGAGGTAAACGTGTTTGCTTGTCTCGATCTGAGCATCATATGCAGGGAAATGGAGTTTCAGGCTGGAGATATGGGGACAGTTGGCCTTAAGACGTCAATCAAAAGAAAGCTGTAGGGACCAGCAGATGGTATAATGGTTACCTATGGGGACAGTTGGCCTTAAGACTTCAATCAAAAGAAAGCTGTGGGGACCAGCAGATGGTATAATGGTTACGTCACTGGATTTGCACACGGCAGACTGTGCTTGGAGGCCTAGACCCTGGCGACTTGAAACTCATCATGGGCATGTGTGCCCAAAATCCTGAGAGGAGAGTGGAGAAAGGATTGTGGCATGGCCATCCCCTCTGGGGGAATTTCTTGTTTTCTGTCTCTCTGTCTCTCCGGTGAGCACACATGCAAAAAATCTCTCTAAAAAAAAAAAAAGAAAGAAAGAGGAAAAGAGAAAAGAAGGACTGCGAGATAGGGTTCAAGGTCTTTGAGGTTCCCTGTCTTGTGTCCATTGTGTTGTCAATGATGTCTCCAGGATGAGCCCCAGAAATGGGACCTGGGCTTCTGACACAGATCTGACACCAAATCTTAGCCCTGCTCCTTTGGCAAGGAACTGAATTCTCTGAACTTGGTTCCTCATCTACAAATGCTAGTGGATATCCAACCTCTCAGGGCTATTGTACAGATGAACAAAAGAGTTCCTCTGAAATGCCTGAGATCTTTCTCTCTCTCTCTTTTGGGACAGAAGAGAGAAAGAAATAGACGCGTGCTGACCTAAGAAAATATTTATTTTGAAGAGAGGTGCGGTAAGGGGTTGTCGCTTGTGCCCAGAGAGCTGGCGGCCTCCTTGGCTGCGGGTGCGTGCCGACCTTTGAGAGGTGAGCTCTTGGCAGGGTTTTTGATGAGAACCTGAGGCCAAATTGCCATGGGGGCCAGCGGCCGCAGGGCCTGGGAAGCCTTGCCTGCCTTAGGGCAGGACTGGAATTTGGCCTTGGGAGGAAGCTTCGGCCCTGCTTTGGGGGCCTTCGTGTGGCAAGCTGAACGAGGCTCCCTCTGAGGCTGGTCCTCCACAGAGGTGGGCTCCTTCTTGGATGCCAAGGCTGGGAAGGTTGGCGGGATGAAGCAGGAGGCCGGGGTGGGCTGGGGGTGCAGCATCACCTTGGTCCTCAGGCTGCACTCACAGAGGCAGGGCCCAGTGAGGGGGGGCAGGGAGAAATACTCCTCTTCCCACCATGGGGCCTGCTCCTGGGAAGGCTTGGGCCAGGCCACCAGCCCCCACACGGACTCCTGCCTGGGCTCTGCAAGGAGGGTCTTGTTCCTGAGCAAAGGGGGGAGGAAGAATCAGATCAGGGTTTGGGGAGGAGACAGAGAAGAGGTGACTACGGAGGGGGAGGGATCATGAGAGACCAAGGCAGAGTCAGGGCAGACCAGAAAGCAGGACACTGGAGTGGGGGTCGGGAGAGTCAGTGAGCTGGGCAGAAGGCAAGGGTGCCGGGTGGGGACACACACCCCGTTTCTTCCTCCTCCTTCTCTTTGTCATGGTTGTCCTCTGTTGGTGTCATCTCAGGGACAGATTTGGAGATAGCATTCACCCATCTTTCCTCTTTCAAAAAAGAAGGGAAAAAAATGGTGAGGGAGGAGGGGGAACCTCAGACCAGGAAGGGATTTGGGATTGAAGGAGGACTCTGGCCCTCCCCACCTCTCTTCTCCCATCTCCCAGCTAACCCTTTCACCCCACATTCCTGCTTTAGCCTGCCTGTTCCAGGCTGTGGAATGCCGTTCCCACCATCCGGAGTACTTATCCAGCCTCCTCTCTGCCTGATGAAAATACCACCATTACGCAAAGATGCTCAAAGCCAGACCGGTCTTCACCTTGAAGCGTTCCTAGCTTAGATGCCCTCAGCCTGGCACTCCTTTCTGATGGTCGAGACCACATAGTCTGCACCTGGCACGTAAGAGAAGCTTATTGAAATCCTTACTGCATCATAGTGGGTTAAAAGACATCTTTCTCGGGACCAGCGGTTAGCGTACTGGCTATGTCGCTAGATTCCCATGTAGTCGACCGCGGTTTGGGTCCTGGACCCGGTGGCTTGAAACTCACACCAGGTGCGTGTGCATGCGTGCCCAAGATCCTGAGAGGAGAATGGAGGAGAAGGGATTGCAGTGTGGCCATCCCCCCTGGGGGGTGATTTCTCGCTTTCTGTCTCTTTGTCTCTGTCTGTCTGGTGAGCACACGCGCCCTATGGCAAAAACCTCTCAAAAAAAAAAAAAAAAAAAACCGGAAAAAAACCCCCAAAAAACAACTCTCTCTAACCGGCACTTCCTTACTGATCGAGACTCGTGGTCATCTCTGCTCCGGCCTGTCCTTGAGGAGGATCTGCACATCCACTTGCTGAATGGGGGAAAGGTCATGGGACCCACGCCATCCATTCCATCCTCCCTCCCTGGGGTGGGAGAGGGCGCAGCAGGCTGTGAGGGAAGAGGGCCCTATCTCAGTGCTTCCAGGTCTCCAACAAAAATAAGCTCCAAGGTGCCAGCCAAGCCTCCAAATCCCATTGTGACATCATATGTGTGGGTTGTGGACCACACACCTCTAGGAGCCATTGTGGCTTCACCAAATGTGGCCTGGGTGGACGTCTCTGGAACTTGACTGCTCTCAGCTTTCTCCAGACGCTCTGAGTCACAGTCTCCCACATAGAGCCCTCAGCGCATTTAGGGATGAGGCATTTGCCTGCTTCCTAAATCTCCCGCCAGGTGCTAGGTGTGCTGAGCTGGAGGGTTAGGACCTGGGGTGAGGCAGGGGATTGGTGTGAAGGGCATCTCTCATAGGACAAGACCCCGGCAGTAGCTCGCTGTGCAATACCGGCAGAAAGGACTCCTCGCCTCAACATGACACACTCAGGGCTCCACTCCAGCCGCAGGTAAGGCTGAGGACAGGAACTCCAGTGGGCTGAGATGAGCCCTGGGAGGAGGTGAGACCTCTGGGGGCTCTTGCTATGTGCCGGGAACTCTGGGGACAGGCTTTCTTACTCTTTGCACGCTTAGCAGACCTCGTTTATATTGCCTTCAAGATACATCCCCCATCTGGGGCCAGTGGTTAGCGTAATGGCTATGTCACTGGACTCCCACGTGGTTGACTGAGGTTCGAGTCCCGGACCCGGTGGCTTAAAACTCACGCCGGGTGCGTGTGCGTGTGTGCCCAGGATCCCGGGAGGAGAATGGAGGAGAGGGTATTGCGGCGTGGCCTTCCCCCCGGGGGAGGTGATTTCTCGCTTTCTGTCTCTCTGTCTCTCTGTCTGTCTGGTGAGCGCACGCGCCCTATAGCAAAAGCCTCTCAAAAAAAAAAAAAAATACATCCCCCATCTGCTTGTCTTCGCCCTCTCCCCCTCAGCTCACCATTCTAAGCCTCCACCCTCTCTTGCTAGAATATTGCAACACCCCCTAACCTGTCCCACTGCAGCCTCGTCCCTCTTAGTCTGTTCTCAACAGTCACAGGTGTCCTTTTAAAAGTAAAGTCAGAACATGTCCGTCTTCTGCTCAAAATCCTCCAGTGGCTGTCCGTCTCACTCAGAGAAGCCGTTCCTTATAAGACTAGTGATCTGACCACCTCTCTGCCCCTCCCCTCTCCTCTCCCCACCCTCTCCTCTGCTCCCATCAGGATAGCTCCTGCCTCAGGACCTTTGTGCTTGCTGTTCCCTCTGGAATGATTTCTGAAGGCACTGGGGGTCTTCGGCTGCCAGTGCCCTTCCGGGTTCAGGCAGGGCTTTCCATTTTCTCTATCCTTCCTCGGCCAGGCCCCTCACCGTCACCCCCTGCATTCTCGCTCCCCACCCCAGGAAGAAGTTCTCCTGTCTTTCCTAGCTGAAGTCCTTTCTCTGGCTCCCTTTGGTAACACTCACCTCGACAGATTTCTATTCAAAGACCGACAAAAAATACTTACACACTGACTGAATCCAGGTTGATTATGAGGATCTGTTTTGGCCCAGTAATGTAGCTGGACTCCTAGGCCTGGAATTCATTTCTAAGCAAGTAAGCCAAAGGGCGTGCAGGGATCTCTCTGGCCCCGTGGCTGGACAGGGAGCCTCCCGTCGTGGTGAGATGCCTGTAGCGACCGGAAGCTCCTTGCCACACAAGGCGGCCCACTCTGCTGTAACAATCCGGAACCACCAGAAGGGTCGGCCTTGTTTTCAGCCACAACCTGACTCTTGTTTGGTGTGTGTGTGTGTGCACGTGCTTGGATGGGCACAGTGGAGGGACTAGCAAGCACACAGCCACTTTTGGAAAATGCTTTTTGGTTTTTGTTGCAAAAAGCGCCATAAACTGCTTTCGTTAACCTCGCTGAGTTGGTGGTCTAAGGGCAGCGTCAGAGAGAGCTTATCTTGGAAGGGGCCTCATAGTCTCTCCAAGGGTCTGAAGAGGAGGGAGGAGAGGGGAGATGGAGAACAGGAGGGAGGAGAACTCCCAGGACAAGGCTCACAGGGGGAAGTGGAGGAAGGCAGGAGGGGGCTTGGCTGCTATGAAAAAACTCGGTTGTGGAGGGAAAAAAGTGAATCTTGAAGTCTTCCATTGACAGATACCCCCAGGAAAGAGCTTTCTCTTATGCTCTTTATGTTACGATATTGTATTACACTGACTTTCACTTTTTAAAAATAATTATTTAACTGTATTGGTGATGATTTCATCAGAGCCGGGGAGAGAGAAAGAGGGAAAGTGAGAAGGCAGCCACCAGGTCCAGGGCTTGAACTGAAGTCAGCCATGTGGAAGTCCAGCGCCTTAACCACCGTGCCACCTGTTGGCCCAGTTTACTCTTTTCTGAGCCCAAACTGTCCTTCCAGCTTCAGAATCCCGCCTGCCGTCCCTTTCAGGCTTCCACCCACGGTCCCTCCTCTTGGTCCCTCCTCTCGGTGGCTCTCTGCCCCAGACAGCCGCCCTCACTGGGTGGAGCAGGGCAGAGGCTCCCCTGGCAAGGACTCCCTCCTCCTCCTCTCTAGGTGGAGCTCCAGAGGGACAGGAAGTGGGTATGCTTGGAGAGAGAGAGAGAGAGAGAGAGAGAGACTTCCCCCAGCTACCATGCTGGCCCCCAGCCAGAGCGGAACCCTGAGGCCTTCTGCCCTAACTGCTCTGGGCGTCTGCTCCAGTCTCCTCTTCCAAGGTCCCCGAGTCCGGGGCAGTCAGACCAGCTATGTAATAGTATGGGCTGTGGCACAAAGTCGCTGTGTGACCCTAGGCAAGCCGCTTTCCCTCTCTGGGCTTCGGTTTGCTTCTATGATAAAAGAGAAGGTAAACATTATAGTCCATGATTTAGTGACGCCAGTTACTCGGGTGGGAAGACAAGGAGGAAGTTAAGGCAATGAGGGTTTTTACCCAGCAGAGTCCAGCATGTTCTTCAAGGGACAGCAATTGGGAGGATTATCTGAGTAACACTCCCAACTACGCCAGCAATCCCAGGCACGGAGCCCCGGTTTGACCAGCTCCCAGAGTCCGAGAACACGTCCCTCAGCTTCTCTTCTCTGGTTCCAGCCCGGCCCCTTCCAGGGGCTTTAACCCTGTTTACAGAAATGGGAATTTGCATGATGAAAATAACCCCGGTCGGACTGTGATTTTACTGCGTTTGGCACGGGGTTCGGAAAAAGCGGCTGCATAGCCAATTACTGGAATTTTTAAACACAAATAATATTTTATGGGATCAGTGGGCTGGCGCGGGGCCGCCGCACCCGGCGCGACTCCTCCGCCCACAGACAAGCTCCGATTGTGCGGCGGGGGGGCGGGCCCGCGCCGGGGGG